ATTTCTATTTCATATTCTTGTTGGTCGTTCAGAATCCTACTTGGCCTTGTTTCCATTGCTTTTTATGTATTTGCTCTAGAATCCTGCTTAATCTTGTATTTTTAAAAAATTTTTAAAGTTCTTGTTTGTGTTGATTTTTTAATAATATTTGTAATGTTGCCATTGTAATACTTATTGATTTTACCCAAACAATAATTTTTTTATTGTTATTATTATCATTGTTATAACTTGACAGCTTTTATGAGGGACAGCATTGAATACCGAGATATGCTTAAGGAATATCAACTGTACTGATGACAAGTAAAATTAATACTATTCTTGACATGAGTCCTTCTTTGAGAAGCTTCCATCTTTGGTTGATCTTCCTCTGCAATCTAGTATTCCTCAGTGTCCTGGTCGTGTTGTCAAGCTGAATGTTCGTGCTTCATAATTATTATGATTGCATATAACATTGTTTTTTTTCAAATAAAATAACGAATCACACACACTTAATAAGACAATTATGTGCAAGATTAGTACTTTTTCTTAGCTGGAAACCTTCACTAAGTATTGCCATTAATTCCAAGCATAGCTAGGTAAAAAAATAAATTGCTTCTTCCAGAGCTGCAAATCTGAGCATGTGCAACCACACCCAAATTTTGGAGCACATGTTTCTTTATAGTGATGGGCGATATTGAAAAAAGTCAATCGATATGATACGATATGATATTGGCTATTTATTGTAGATATCGATATTAAATTGATACAATATTAGGCCACACCCACAGACATATCCATTTAATGTGGCTATAATACAATAAAAAACTTAACAACACTTGTTCAAAAATAACATCATATCTATGTTCTTTGCTTTTATTCGATTTCTTTTAGCTGAAACTAATTCATCTGCTTTACTGAACAAGCGTTCAGAGGGCACAAAAGTTGCAACAGTTGATAGATAAACACGGGCAACTTTTTATAACATCGGAAATGCATGGGAGTTTTGCTTCCACCATAAGAGTGGGTCTTCTTTCCTTGGCAAAATTGGAAGTTTAAAGTACTGCTCTATTTCTGAGAGTGCATTGATGTTTGGATTATTCCTTGACCAGGTTTCCAGTTGGGTTATGTACAGCAGAATTTTTTAAATCTTGTTGTGCTGTGGTTGGTTCTGCTACTACTTGAACAAGAGCTGAAGCATCAATAATAATCCTTTGTTTCATTCTTTCAACAACACTGTCATTGGAAAAAAGTATTTTTTTAAACCTAGGATCCATTAGAGTGGCAATAGCTAGAACATTCTTCTCCTCAATCCCTGCAAATCTGGTTGCCATTTGGGCAATCAATTCCTGACGAAAAGGGCTACAAATATTACTGGAATTGGCTATTTTTTGTAGACCTCTAGCAAGAGGAATGATCTTTGAAGCAGAAACATGCTTCTCTGAGGATAATTCAGTTGTAACCACTTCAACAAATGAATGCAAAATTACAATTATCTGCTTGATCAGTTCATTCTTCTCAACAGGTATTGCTAGATCAAGCCTTCCTTGACTACTTAACGCCATTTGAACGGGTTCATGTTGTTCCAAATATCAATCGAGCATATAGTATGTTGAATTCCATCGGGTGGGAACTTGCTGAATCAGCTTATGCTTTTATAGCAAAAAGGTGGTCTGAATTTGTCTCAGCTTTTCTGATGCTTTGGTGCTTTTATGGAAAAAGCTCACGACATTTTTCACTTGATCAATAATTTCTCGAACTTCATTAATTTTTTCAGTTGCACATGTAACAACCAGGTTGAGGGTATGAGCAAAACACACTAAATTATTCCACTGGTTTATCCTCACTTTGCCTTTGATATTGCTGGCACCATCTGTTATGCCGCAGTGAATTTTGGTGGATATTTTCGAATCATCTGCTATCCTCCTTAGCTCTGTTGCAAGATATTCGCTGGTATGAGACTCTGGCACATGAGCTGTTGTTAGTACTGATGATTCCATCTCCCAATTTACATTTATAAAATGGCATGTTACTGTAATGTACCCCATGGTGGTGTTAGAGGTCCATAAGTCAGTAGTAAAAGAGCACCAAGATATTTCTTCCATTTTGTTGATTAATTCTTCTTTTTTAGATTGGTAAAGACGCGAAAGACTCTCACGCATGATCGTGTGTTGACTGGTAGGGGTATACTTCTGATCAATAACTTTTAAGAATTGCCTAAATCCTCTATCTTTCACTATGCTAACTGGGAGTAAATTGACTACGATCATGTCAGTCAGTGTCTTGTCAACTTGTAGATGCCTGAGTGAAATTTCTATATTAAATGTAATGATAAACACGTTATTGTAGTTTTTGCAACAACATACATGTATGTGAATAGCCTTGAATTAATGTAGTTTCTATAGTTAGTTGCTTGGAAACTGTTATTTCTTTCCTCTTCTTATGTGCTCGCTCTGACTCTTGCTGATTCTGTACGCTCTTATGATCACTTTCATGCTACTTTTCTAAATGCTAAAAAATACTGATGGTGCATGCAATGCATAGCAGAGTTTACCTTCATCATGTTTTTGGTGTTACCAGCAGTAGCAATTTTCATTGCACAGTTATCACATCGAGCTTCTCTTTCATTCAGTTTAGTAAAATATCTCCAAAGAAGACTTCTCTTTCTGTTATTACCTGGGCTCGGAAGAGTCAAGATGGCGGCAGCACCTAACAGTTCAGCCTGAGAGGGAGACGGTGATGTATCTGTAGTGCCAGTGGAAGTGGCTTCAGATATGGCTTCGGGGGATGTGGGAGTTGTAGAAGCCATGGTTATCATTGGTTGAACTAGTAAACTGTTAAGAGTGGCTAATGGTAACAGCTGTTACTACAGTTCAACACTTTTCTTCATGATTATCTTGAGGGCACATCCACTGTGACTACATGCACCCCACCCAAATCAGGTGTGGTTATGGGTGGAGTTGTGGGTGCAACAGGAGTGTCGATATGCCTGATATTTTTGTGTAAATTTGATACGTTATCGATACCGTAAAATATTGTTAATATCAATAAAAATTTGGTATATCGCCCATCACTAACTTCTTTAATTAGCAAAATGGTGGCATGCAGCTAAGATTGTACTATCCAGCAGTCATGGTATCACTTTGTCCTTACTTGAAGATTGATCTGATGGGACATGGATCTGTGCATAGCCATTTGGAGTAGAATGGTGTGAGAATTATCCTTGTAGCACCAGCCAATACCGAGATACACCTCGCCAACTGAATTGACAGGACTAACTTTCTTGATGATGATGATGAAGATGAAAAAAGGTGGCTGAACAAAACGGTCTTTTGCTGATTTTTTGACTTTCCTCTTAGAAAAGGCTTAGAGCCATGCTAGTGGTACCAATGGAGTATTCTGGTCAAGATAGGGTTCTTTAAGAAGTCTGGTAAGCATAGGAGCTTGTTTTCCCTGTATAGCAAGGCTGCAAAAGTTGTGGCAGCCATTTTGTTTAGGGCTGAATCCTACTTAGTAATGCTACCGCGTTACTAATAGGACACTTGCCTAAAGGTTTCTCACTTTTACCATAAGAACCTGTTTTCATTGTAGCAGGACTTGTAGTGCATTTATGCCAGAGAATTGGTTTCCCAATCAGATTGTTCGACTCACGTGTAGGACAAGCAGTCACATGGCCGAAGAGCTCTGCTTAAGACAAAAGAGGAGGAATGAGGACTAAATAAAGAAGGGAAGGAGCCTGCAATGCCTCCTGGACTTCTTTTTCGAAGTTTAAGAGCAGCATTACTGTGCTACCTACTATGGCGACGCCATCGCACTTATGACATAATAATACTGTCACGTGTTTACAATAAAATGTCATCAATAAAAAGTAAATACTGCGGCACTCTGTGAAGAGTTGCTGCTCTCAAATCTGCAAGAGATGTCCAAGAGACTCTATCCTTGACTTTTCTTAGCTGCAAAGCATCTCTTTCAGCTGTCGTGATTGATCTGGTCTCCTCTGTCACATGATGTAATTCAACCATGTGATCTTTGCACACATTTTAGATGGCAGTGTCTCCAGACCCTTCCTTCATAGGTAAGCGAAGGGGTGGGGTGAGACTATAGTCTAATATATTGTTGTTGGCTCAATCAGCGGAACTCAGTTGAAGGCAATCCTATATTGCTTGATTGGTGGGGTGAAAAAATTTCATGTAATAGTTATAAGACACGTGGGGCACCATGGCCTTTTCATTTTGATTCATAAGCAAATTTTTTGAGTCTTACTGCTAAGAAGCTGACTGAGTGCACTATTTTTTATAGTGGTAAGAACTCAGGCTTGCCAATAAATTATATAACAAGCACTTAGTTATCTATTTTATTGATGTTTGATTCTGAGTGCAAAAAGTACAGAAGAATATGGGAAATTAACTGTAACTTCTAGTCATGATCGAGGCATTTTTTCTGAAACTCATGGTGCAACCTACATGTACGTGTACGTGTAAATATCCATGTGTGCACCAATAGTACTTCATATAGACTTATTGACCACAAATGTACCCCGTAATGTCTTTACTTGTTAATGTTCAACTGTCTGCTCATTTTAAAGCTTTAAGAATCATACAGTTCCAAGTAATGTTGGAATGACGATGAATCAGTTTTTTTGCACTGAACCTTTTTCTCACATATAACTACATACATGTACACATATTACCTTAAGCCTACTATTATTTGCGTCTACTAATATTAGCAAAATCAGCAAAAGTCATGTTTAGCGTTATTAATTTTAGCGTTTTTAACCAAATTCATGGTTTTTAAGAAACACTAAACAGCAAATAATTTAGAACAAAATTAAGCAAGCAAGCCATTAAAATGAGCAGTCTTCGAACCAGAGACAACAAAACATGGGTCCATGTATGCATTTGCTATGATTTTTAACTACATGTAAATAAATGCTGTCACACAACAATCAAGCCATACAAAGACCACTGAAAGATAAGTTCTTTCCCAAGCAAGACTATTTAGTTACATCATCAACTGTGCTGCTGACTACCTTCCTTATAGTGACTCTGTGTCTTCATTAGAGGATGAGAATAGCAACTTTTAAGTTGTAAATCCAATTCTTAGCACTTTCAAGCCACTTTAAGTAATCAGACATGTGCTTTTGGGCTCCGCCCTAGTCAGGTGGGCCTGCATGACCCTCACAAAGGAGGAGGGTCAGGACCGATCCAACACTCTTTTTGTGGCACTGCACAGATTTGTGCAGTGACGTATCATGAGTCAAAATAAAATGGCGGATTCGAAACGGGACCTTTCTAGCAGCAAAACAAGGCAAAGATAATGTCTAATAACTTTTCTAGAGACACTGGAAGATACAGAAGACCTTAATATGTCTTTGTGTGAAGTAATAGATGCCCGTTGTGTGTTTATTGTGACGAAAATGAACTGGATATTAGGAACATTTTACCGTGACACTTCTTAACAATATTGTTAAAGAGGTTTCCATTTTTTTCCAGCTTCTCTAACTCGTGTAAACATTTAAGGCCAGCCCTTTTAGCATCTTTTACATGTGCAATTATATCTATGCCAATTTAGACCTAGTTTTATCTAACCATAGATATACAACACAGACCGGGATTGGAAACAGATCACGTGAGCGCATTATTTATAACTGCCCATCCTTGTTGTTAATAACTACCAGCTGCTGCTATCATTTCAATGGCGAA